TACAGCTCATGAGAATGCTTATTTCAGGTGTGCAAACCCTGTGTAGTACACTTAGTGTAGTATGCTCCTATGCGTGTAGTGCCAACAAGTACATTCAGTACAAAATACTATGTGTAACAAACTACACGCGACTGATTTTCTAATTAAATAGTGCCATTTGTTCAAAATCACAAGGATAAATGAATCAAATAAAAGTAAAATTACTTTACAGTGAAAACATTTGCATTCGCCCCTAGGGCGCATTAAATATCAAAATAGTTTTAAAAGATTTATAGTTCTTTTGAAATAATAAAAGACGCATTATATTGTCAATAAACAAGGTGAAAGTCCACATGAAACGCCACGAATCGAACATAGCCGCCATCTTGTATTTCACTCGCCAAGACGTCTGTCACTAGTCTGTGTTAACTGACCTTGTTTAATAGAGACTCAAGTATGGCTGCCCAACGAAATTTTACTGTGTTGTCATTACTAATAAAGCTGTATTAGATTGTTGTAGATTTGCAACAGAGTTACTGGCTAAAAACATTATTCATTGTTTTAAGATTTTGGAAATGGCCCATCCAGTTTTCTAAATGGCCCCTAAATTTCGGAGTGATGGGCCCTTTGACCCCCTGAAAGAAATTCCTGGTAAGAACACTGAGTATGTGCATACAATAAATGCACATGATCATACTTTTATGTGTCACACTATAATAGTGCACATGTATCAGCATATTTACCATTCTTGATTAGTTCAAATATCTTGTTCATGATCATATTGCGATGCTCTTCCATGATTTTCTGTTTGATTGCAAGACATCTGAGTGCCCAAACATATGATGACTATAAAATACAAATGAACACTTCATAAATTCTGACCAAAATTTAAGAGAACAAGGAAACATTCATGGGTGCCCTCTTGATGGGTCTACAAGAGAAAGAGACAGAGAGACAGGAGACAGCAGAGAGAGAGACAAAGAGAGAGAGAGAGAGTGGCAGAGAGAGAAAAGATGGAACCGAAGAAACAATTAAATTTTCTCTGTTGATTGTTAATCATCTACAAAACAAATTATAGAAAGAATATGTTTTATGATCATAAAAAATCAAGGCCTTACTGTATTTGTGTTAAAACATTTGGAAACGTTCAGCGGTTAACCTGCGTAGTGGTGCAATCG